AAGTCCTCTAATGGGATCAACAACAGGTGGATGATTGACCTGACTGATACAATGTACCTGGATATCCAAAAATCTTTTGTCAGAGTCCCTAACCAAAAGCTTTTAAGGCAATTAAGCAGCCACTGAGTAAGAGTGAAAGTCCTTACATTTACAGTGAAAAAAGAGAGAGTGGGAATACATGGTGAGTACCTGCAGCGAAGGTAAGTTATCGGTAGAGTTCTGCAGGGATCTGTGCTAAGACCTGTGTTATTTTACAGTATTCATAAATGACCTGGCAAGCAAATGTAATTGTAATGACAGTTATGTAGCATAGTGTGGAATTCCAGAAGGACCTTATGAAATCACGTAGCAATAAAACAGCAAACGATGATCAAGGTAGATAACTGTAAGGAAAAATCAGTTGCTCTTCAGGACAGAGAATCTTGGTGTTATGATGGATAATGTCATGAAACTGTCCCTGTTCAGTAGCAGTCAAAGAACCAAATCAATATTGGGAATTACCAGAAAAGGATAATGAATTAGCAGAAAACATCCATCCAGTGTAATCAATGCATGGTTCACTCATACTTCTTGCATCTTATATAGCAAAGAGACAACAGAGAAGGAATTTTTTTTTTTTTTTTTTTTTGTGTCTCTCCTCCATCTCATCCAACAGCAACAGAAAATGAAATGAGATGTGGAGGAGTCCGGTTCAAAGCAAGAGTTCTTCAAGCAAGAGGAGGTTGAGTTGTGGAACTTTCTGCTGAGGGTGTTGAGGGTGCAAAGGGCTTATGCAGGTTCAGGGATGCAACGGACAAGTATCTGAAACAGAGACTCACTCCAGGTTACCAAACAGCCAACTCTGCAAAGAGTTGGAGACTGAAAGAGCACTAAGAGGCAATATTGCATATGCTTGCCCTTCTCTTACTCCAAGCAGGTCAACACTGGAGAGAAATGACTGACTGGCTTAGAAGAACCCTGACTCAATATGACTGTTCTTCTATGCAAACACGTATGAGCTTATTTCAAAATGAAGGCAGAAAGAAACTATTTATCTTTGGTTATAAATTGATTTTTGTAGCATTACTTTCACCTTCACTTCTCATATATGAACTTCCAATAAATCAGCTTCCTTTCTGAATAGAAAAAGGTGGAACCAGGGAATATGCTTGAATTTTGAATTTTTCAATTCCGTCTATAACTCAGCAGGTGGAAGGAAGTCACTTTGCACTTCATGTGATACCCACCAGCATCCATTTCAGACAAGAGGGACTGAATAGAAGTCACAGCATGAAAAGTAGACAAAAGTGAACATGATGGGGAAGAAAACAATAGCTCCTACCTGGACTGTTTAGACTGAAATGTCAGCATTCAGAAATATCCTATAGTTTCTTGTTCTGCCTATTTCACTTTCACCAGAGATACACAAGTGTATGCGTAATTGCAGTGTGAAAAGTTCACAATTCCATATAGTGGAACATTTCAGAAGAAAAACATTGTGAAAAGGATCCAAAAGAGATGCTACTGTAAAGTTACATAGCACCAGAAGCACAGCCAACGAAAGCTGATTTCATTTACTTCAGGAAAAGGAATCACCTGATTCAGAAACAAGGATGTGTTTTTGTTTAAACACTCAGCAAGGCTACTCTTCTACTAAAATATTTTGCTTTTTGGCTATTTAGGAAGAGAATGTCCTCCACAAAAGCAGAAATAACTTTTCTGCATAAGCAGTTTGTTAGCCCAGTCGTAACGCTCTTCTCACTGGGAAAGGAAAGGCACAAATGAGGCTTGAATTCCTCTGTCTAGGACTCAGCACATGGTGCTCGACCCTACATCAACAATTCTGTTCCCAAAGCAACACTGGCATAGGAGACACCCTAAGTGCGTGAATGCTTGATAACTCTGTCAGAACTTGTCACCTGTATCTTCTGTCTACGGCATACAGCCTACACCAGAGCTCAGTTCAGGTCTCCTCAGTGCTCCACAATGTCCCTGAATCTTTAGGACAATTCACTTTTATGTGTTTATTCCAAGTGTTTTGAAATAAAACCATGGCTATTGTGTTACAGCCTGCAAGAGCATTGCAGCCTGCAGCATGAAACAGAGTTCATATTTCGAGTCCTAAGGTGCAGCAAAAGAGCACAGGGGATACCCGAGGGTTCAAAATCTGACAGAAGAGTTCTGGAGACATATGAAGGGTAGAAAGAGCCAAAGCTGATTCAGCCTTGTTCATAGTGTTTACTGGGAGCAGCATTCAGTACACACAATCCCACAATCATGCCTGGGATCTTAGAGTGCCTATGACTAATGGCCAGTTGGGGTCCATCGTATGAGACAGCTTCCTCACCAGTTTTATTTAGCAAATCAGATGTAGCCAGTGGTGTGCTCAGCATATGTCCTGGCATGGCCCCGGTATATTTTGTAGATTTGCTCTGATTTGTGCTTGAGTTTCTCCTCACCGGACTACCAGAAATGAAGGTGAGTGACACCTTTATCTGACCATTTGACTGATGTCACTAGATTGCCTGCTACTCTAAAATGCATGCCTAAAAGAAACTGATAATTTGAACTACAGATATGGCTGCATTTCTACATGCTCCTCCACCACCTGACTTCAAGATCATTTTTGATGATCTTTCTCAGGCTAGTGGAAGGTCTAAGATCCCTCTGTGAAGCACAGGTGAAATATAAATTGAATACATTATGCCCAGAGTATAAAGCTCTTTGTTCTGTGGTCTTTCTAATTCTCAGCCTGACTTATAAAACTAAGATGTATAACGCCAGGGATCAGCCTAGAACTTTGGCCTGTCATGCATTGTATGTGAAATTCTTTTTTCCTTTTTACTATTTCTTAGTGCTGCAGCAGATGAATGAGTGGATGTATTATGTGTGTATATGTGTGTCTGTCATCCTTAGTGAGTGTGTCTGCTTCTGTCCTTGACTTACTTTTCTTCTTTCTTCATGTTTCTTTTTTCTTCCTTTTTACAATATCTCAGTTCTAGTCAGACCCTCTCTGTTCAACACTTCTTTTATTCCTAAAACACTCATAATGCTATTCAGATAATATCTGTACAGAAGGAATAGACAGAATACAGAGTGCTTACCACTGTGTAAATGATGTGCTCCCTGAGATATTTTCATGCACTGCACGCACTGTTGTCCTTCACTTAAATTATGAAATAAAAAGAAATGTATCTACCTTTCTTTTGAATTCTTGAAATAAGTTTGAGCAATTATCACTGTATATTTGTCTTGTTAGGTTGAAACCAGTAATAAAAAGGCTAGAAACAACAAAGACTTAGACTCAATGGGAAATACGAATGTGTCAGGTCCTTCAAGAACTGACAAAAGAAGCATGCTTTTACAGAGAATAGGTTACCAAATAAAAGCCAGAAAATCTCCTAACTTACCGGTATGAACGTTAAAATTCTTGAGAGTATTTCAGGCACATTCAAAAACATTTTCATTTTGGATATTATTATCAAGGATTACATAATGTTAATCTCCCACTATCAAATCACTCAGGTCACAAATGCCCAGCTCCTGTTCTCACAGATGAGGCTTTGTCTGAGCCAATGAAGGAAACAATATCCTTTTTTAAGGATTGTCCCTTCTTCACTGGCTCGAGGATAAGTAAAAGAGCCTCTGTGACTGACTGGTTGCAAGGCAATATAAGCATACACGTTGGGAAGAAAACCTCTCTCCCTTGATCCCTATCAGGATTCAGTTTTGGGGATTTACTGACTGCATCACAGTAATCGCTTTTTGGGACTGTGAGTAGGTTTTCTCCTAGTGGTAGGATTCGATCAGTTGAGGGGAGGAGATCCATTGGCTTTTCCCTGTTATTTTTTAACTTTTCAAACATACTTCCTACAGCAGTCTACAAATCTAGTGTGCACAGTAGGGTATAAATGCATGTTGTCCTATAATTTGATAGACTGCCTGTCCCACTCCCCACTCCAGTACAAGGAAGACATGGATAAACTAAAGCGAGTTCAGTGAAGGGCCACCATGATAGTCAGAGGCCAGAGCACTTGCTCTGAGGAAAGGCTGAGGGAGCTGGGCTTGTTCAGCCTGGAGAATAGGAGGTGTCTAGGGGGTCTCCCAGCTGCTACTGGGAGGTTGACAAGAGACAATGAATATAACGACACTGAAATAAGACAGTTTCAAACTGGGTAAAGACCTGACTGGATAAAGCCCTGAGCAACCTGGTCTGACTTCACAACTGACCCTGCTTCAAGCAGGAGGTTGGTCTAGAGACCTCCTGAGGTCCCTTCCAACCTGAGCCATGCAATGATCCTATCTCCAATACCTGCTGTCCAATAGCAGAGCTAGTTCTCTCACAATTTGGGATAAGACCCAGATGAAGCAAAAGCTTCTTTTTAAAGAATGTGCTTAGCACAGCAAAGCAACAACTTAATTTTTCCAAGTCTTTCACTTGCAAGTGGAAGGAAGACATCATCCCAAGAGGATGACTGTGACCAACAGCTCCTGAAGCAGCCTACCCCTTTAGTGGAAAGAATTCCAGAAGTATCCTAGCTCTTCCTGGCTGTGGGTCACACCACATTCCCAATGTATGTTATTTCTATCTGTGGTAGCACAGCCAGAAGAACTCAGTATAGTATGAGTAGTTGCTGAGCTACAGACTGTAGAAAAAGAGTCAGAGCTTCCCTTAAAGTGCAAAATTGTTCAAAATGTTCACTGGAAACACCATGCACTAACACAACACAAATGCAGAATGCAGAAGACTACCTTTTTAACAGGATGATATCCTTCAGCCTTGAATCAGACTGTCTATACAATGCCCAAGGAAACATATTGCATTAAGACAGTACAAATTGAAAGGAGTTTTTTTTTTTTTTTTTAAATAGTAATCTGTAGAGACCCTCCGATACCTCTGAAGAAACTTTAATGAACTGATTTCTGTTGCATGCAACTTCCCTGCCTGGTGAATGCAAGGGCCTATAAATACTTTTGCTTCATCCTAAGGCTATGAATTTAAAAAAATACCATTAAATTACCTGTTGCCATGAACATGAGAAGCACAAAACGCAAAACTGTAGTGGAGCAAGGTTGGATCAATGACAGAACCATTTTCTGAATGTTCAATCAATTCATTGAGATAGCACAGATGGCGGTGACAGCCTCTCACTCCATAGCGAGCACAGTATTCGTCTAATACGAAGACTTGACCTGGGCTAAACCAACCCTGGAAGAGAAAAGCAAAAAAACCCACAGCATTTTGAGATTTGTTTTCCAACTCACAGCTTTTAAATCAAACAAAGAACAGAAGCATATATTTTTATGTGCGTTACATAAACTTTTTATACTAGAATGATTTATATTTGACTAATGCTGATGGCACCAGAAGCTAGATCCAACAATAGCCCTCTCGCTGAAAGGAATACATGCCAGGAAACTATTTGCAGTTCTGAGTTACCACTACTACGAAATATATGGTTTACAAAAACATGTTAATACATCCAAAGGCTGGTACAGATTCAATTCTATCAAAACCTAATATAAACTATCACTTCAAAATAATTCATTTCATTAAAGTAATTAATTGTAAGGTATGAGAGAACATTTGAGTAACGGTGAGGGGCATTAACATCGAAAGTTAAACCACAGTTGCTAGATGGTCAGTTCCATGTGGTCACAACTTTAATGCAAGACAACCACAATTTGACCATTTACCCTGTTTCTTATGTAATGTGTGAACTTTTAATAACTTTTTAACAACGTATACTAGTAAAGAGATGCAAAGCTAGGTACTTTGTTAAAAGCCATCTGAGTAAGATCAGTATGATTTGACCTTAAATAATAATTAGATATTCTGGGGCATACCGGGGGTTTATTTGGGCACAGGTTGGATGAGACCAGAACAGCATAACCCTGACACCGACAGGAACAAAGTACAAACTCCTTCTCACCATATAAAGAGTTCTTGAGTGAATCTAGAGTGTAAAAACCATAATTGATTCTTGATGTAGAAATGTAAAACAGAAGAGCCTTCATTGCCTTGCTTCCCAATACGAAAAAAAGATAGCACAGTGAGCTTCCAAAAAGCAGCAGGAAGAAAAACATAAACCTTGGGAAACCACAGCTACTGCATAGCTGTTATAAATAAGCTTTTTTCTTTGTTCGTTTCTTAATTGTGGTGATATAGCCCTCTGATCAACCCTACCAAATTATTAAGAGATACTGAAGAACACCCAAACTCAAATATACAAATAACGTGGATAAGCAGTAACTTAATAATTTCAAAAATGATTTTGCAAGTAATGAATTTATAATATCAGTTTAGCATCTAAAGACCATATTTCCCTATTGCTTGTGCATACTTCTGCAAGCTCGGATGTTTAGTATTTCTACAAAATATCAGCAAAAATACTATTAAACAATACTTTAAAATATATTCACATCAGGTTTAAATCATCTGTGTTTTAACTTTACCAAAAGACTTGCACGAGACAGAATTTAAATTTTATGTTATCTCCCAACTCTTGAATTTAACGTATTATTTGCAAACAAGAACACCTCAGAGCTATTTCATAAATTTGTTTCTTCCTAATTCATTTCTCTGAAGTCAATGTTTCCACTGCCTCTAAAGAGCTTCAGCTGTTTCTAGAGAACACTTAGCTTTATTACAGCACCCAGAACAGTACTCAGTGTTTTAAACTAATATCCAGTGATGTAGCAATGGCTCATGTAGTTTACATGGTGTTTACAAGAAAATATGGTATTCCATTGAAAGAAGAAATAAAAGGGATTTTAACTGAATTTCTGCAATAATATGTACCTTTCCCTAAATATAATGAACAGTGGTTATGGTGACTGATATTCTGCCAATACATTGCCCAAGTCATTGTCACTGACATCTCTCTACATTTTTCTGAAAAACATGAAAAAATGAAGCATGCCAATGCCTAGCAGTACAAAAGGAAAGAATCATTAAAACTTCTGTATGTTCTCATAGGAGGAAATTGTGACAAGAATAAAAATTTTAAAAGAACTCATTGCTTTAACTTCAGTCACTGTAAGAGATCTGTTTTAGTGTGATCGTTTTCATACACATGTGCTTTCCTTGCCCTTGTCCAACTCCACACCATACATCTGTCACATATAACAGCTCTATGCTACAGCGTATTAGATAACTACATATTTTTTATTGTAAAACTGAAAAAAAAAGGGGAGAAAAAGAAGCTCCCTAATACCTAGGAAAATGTAAAATTAAAGTCGTTTTGATCATATAGCAATTTAATATAGAACTGTGCTTACATATTTTTTATTTTTACAAATGTATGTGTGGTTACTCTATATTTATTGAAAATAAAGGGATGAATTTTTTCTAAATATGATAGGAAGTGAGCTAATCAGGAAAAAAGTAATCACACTTTTATGTTCATGTATTCTATTGCTATCTTGACATTCACAATTTTCTAAATTAAAAAATGTATTTAAATATGCAATTTAACAAAAAATGATCACCCATTCTACTTCCTAAAAGGTGAATTTTAAAAAGAACAATAAGAAATGCATCTGCTTTACGGTTGCTATAGCACTGTGTATTTCACCTAACCTCTTCTAAAAGTTCCTGATTTCAAGGTTATATTAAGTGTCTTACTATATTATTATTATAAAAAAAGATTTTGACCCCAATGCACTGTTAGAAAGCTACCCATTTTCTCTTTGAGTGCCAATTACTTTGTACAGATGTACCTTCGGGCCTCTTCTTTGATTCATTGTGCAGCCCACAGACAGAAAATGAGTCCTTTAACTTTTTCTATACATACTTATCAGGTAGCATTTTAAAAAGGAAGCAACTGTCATCAAATAATTTTTTCCCCCTTTTTACACTTGCAAACAAACTTAACCCCCCCCTCATTATCTTTGTATTGTATGACTGGTCAGACCAACAGAAAAAAGAAGTATAAAAAAGTTATCCTTTTTTCTTGCTGTTGGGATGGTAAAGTGAAAAAAAAAGAAGTGCTATGAAGCATTTTAGGTCCTTCGCGAGAGATCACTGTTTCAGATGCTATACTGAGTGAGAAATAAAGCCACACAAACCTGTTTAACAAGAGTGTACAATCTGATGGACTTCCACAAGATTGCTGTGGGTCTTCCCTACTGAAAACAAAATCAGAAGCAGCCCCATCCTAAACTCCCAGTCCCACAAAGCAAAGAACAGAAAACGTTATGTAGGAAACTGCAGCTACAAATACAGAAGCACGCTATGCCACTATGTTATCTTTGAATGTGAACAACATTCATTTTGATACAGAGATCACATTTACTTGTTTTTGATTAATAATTATATTCCCATTTGTTATTTGCAATTCAGGTAATACTTATAGGTCCATAAATCTCTACTGCCTGTGGTTCTGCCTCTCTTCTTTTGGCGTTTGCCCTTCTTCACACCACAGTGGAAGGAAGAACTACAAGATAGGTGAAAACGTCTGACATGAGGCGACTACATTTGTACCTTAAAATGCCCGTACAGGTGTCAGTAAATCCTACCACAGGAGCTCCTATCATTAGCAAAACCTTCTGTTTTTATTCAAACCTCCACAGAGGACATGATAAATTTCAGCTGATAAAATCAGAGACAGTTTGGGTCTCTCTGCTTTCTACTGAGTGGAACAGCAGCAGCTTGCAAGTGTATAATTTTCAAATTTGAAACCAATCGATTGGACCCTTTATTCCAACTACAACTGCAGCTATTGAATGAACTAGGAAGAAAGGACTACTTTGTAACAACTATTTCTCACTTCTTTATATCTATCTTCCAGCCAGTACTCACCAAACAAGAATAGGAGTCATTCAATCTGTGATCCAAGGTCTGCCTCTGAAGCAGTCTAAAGAGGGAAGCATGGTCAAATTTGCAGGGATTAGCAGAAATAAACTCATCCATGCCATGTTTCTGACCACGGTCTGTATCTGTTCATACAAAGGAAAAATGTGCAGAACAATACACGTGAGTGTGTGTGCAGATTTACAAATACAACGGTATACATGGTACGTAAAATCTCAATATATAAACTTTTGTGAAAAGATTTCAAAGAAACAAGTTACATATGTAGATGCTTGCAGGAGACTTATTATAGAATCTTGTTTTTTAATCTGAAAATAATATTACTGAATTATTTTTCTATCATACCAATCTATGGAGTGTAACAGTGAAAAAAAAATAAGTTGCTACCCACTGACAGATTAAACAAAATTTAGAAAAGCTATGGGAAAATACAACATAGTACATTAAAATAATTCCTAAAGCATGGTTTTCTAGTGGAGCTTTTCAAATGTTATAATTTACTAAACAACATTATAAGTACGAAAAAAATGTGTTCTATGATTTCCTGTGTGTGACTCTCTGCCTAATTTTAGAAAAATACCCAAATAAATATCCTTCCCTCCATTGCAAAAAAGTGAAAGGTTTATGCATTTATTGCTTCAGATAAGAAAGAGCATCTTTCCTGCAGATCAAAGTACTGCTCATAGAAATATTCACCATGGCTTGAAGCTTACTTCTCAAATGGCAAACTGGAGCAGAAATGAACACACTGGCTTCAGCTAGGTCATTTCCAGCCTCTTTTTGTACTCAGCTTTTAATGAGACAAACCTTAATGTAGTAATGGCAAAGAGCTCCTTCAACCTTCCAGCAAAGAGTAGTGAAAAAGGGAGCAGCATTTTTGTGTAAATACATCGAGAAAACATACCATCCCAAATGGCACTTCAATCAAAGGCCCAAATTTATTGTTCTTCACAGATTGCATCTTTCAACGCCTTTAAACCCCGCGGGTTTATCAAAAGAGAAGCTCTAGTGATTGCTTTCATTAATGCTATGTTTTGTCAAAGTCCTCAATGTGAATTATCTATCAAGTATGGACAGAAAAAGCCTTACAGTGCCCAAAAGGACTAGTTATGTATTAGCACATTAGCTGTCTTGGATTCTATAGACTGTACCGGGGTGAACAGTCCTATCAACTTAAAAATTGACTTCCCCTTTCAATAGGGCCTTAGGTCTTTGTTCCTTTAAATTCAAACCTAAGTCTTTTTATATTCATTACTAGAAAAGTATAGATCTAAGTGTATCCTAAATGCAATTTTGAAAACGTGCATAGTACAAAACTAAAATTTCTAAAGAAAAGGAGACAAAAGTTTATTGATTAAACCCAATTATAGAGTCAGGTTCATAATAAAACTCAATATTGATCTGTGGGCATGATGCTAACATAATCAGTCACATTTAGAAATTTAGCCCCAGATCATATTGATCCATGTCAAGTCCAACTTTCAGCTGTATTTGTAGATGGGAGAATTATTTAATTCAAGCTGAAGGATCTGCAGCATCACATCCTGGAAAGATGCAGAAACTAATTCATATCACTTGGCTTTGCACTGTCAAAGCAAGAGTCACATCCATGTGACAGATTTCACCAAGGTGGATGTAGCAAATAAACAGTATGACAATACATCAATGGCGTAAGGTATGAGACCATCATCACAGAGAAACAGCAGCATATATTTTTAATGGTTTAAGGATCAGTAGCATATGTGATTACACAGCTTAACAATATTTCCATAAGCATTAGACTAGCCTATCATTAATGACAAACTTAGCTCCTATTTTTGACATAGGTGCATGAAATGCTCGCTCTTAAATAGTACAATTTAAATGTATTTAAACACATGAATTCAAAGACAAACAACTGATATCAACACAGCTACATTACTGAAAGTACTAAAGTACAATGTGAAGTTATCTATAGTTTCCAAAAAGATCCACACACAGATAAAAGCTTTCCAAACCCAACCTGTTTAATGTGTGACTGGTTTCTACATTTCTTGTAAGTTTTCCTTCTTATACAGATATCTGATTTATTGAGCCATTATTTGCAATAAGACAGATGACAGAAAAGAAAAAGGGTAAGTATTTCTTTCTGCCATTGGTCTCACGTACTAACTATAGACAGATGAATCTTCCTTAAATTAACTGGCTTGATTTTTTTTCTCTGGTTAACCACAAAAGTATAAAAGATTCCCCTTTTTAAAAAGAAAATCTGTGTAAGTACTGACAAGTAATTAAGTATTTTGAAATCAGGAGACTGGATGTTGCAAATGAAACAGATTCAGCATTCTGACACGGGCACCCAGATGATCTGAATCTATCAGGTAACCTACTGAATACAATGCAGCTTGTGAAAGCAGAATCTGCTATTACATAATTTGGGCAAAATAAGCAAAAATATTTATTTAAAGATAAATATACTTGCTAGATTTCATTCTACAGAAAAATAACACTGTCAAATAGTAACAGAAGATCTGAATATATTCTAGCAACAGAAAAACAATTAAAAACTTACCTTTGCCAGCTGCAGGCAAGCAGGAGATAATAGAAAAATAGATCTAGTGTAATACATTACAGTTTATTTTACTGTTATGATATGCATACAAGATAACTGGTAAATCTTTTTAAAAAAAAATGCATTTTTTTAAAAAAAAGAACCTGATCAAAGATTATGAAGAATTCATAAATGTTCTATGACTGTGACTTAAAAATTATTTAACACCCTACATTTAAAAATTTTTAGAGTGATTGTATTTCTCAAATTCCTACATAAATGAACTTTAGATGTCCTGTTCAAGCTATATGTAAATGCAAAAGACAGAAAGAGTGCTACATTCTGATATACAGTTAGGAAAAAATACAATTCCACTTTATGCTCTACACTTTCTCAATCGTTGGAAATATTGGGAAGATATTTGGGGAGAATTTTGAAACAGTAATACTTCTGCTTTTTCACAATTCATTTTCTTTCCTTAATGGAATTTGTTGTCCTGTGTCCCGATATTGGCTGGGATAGAGTTAATTTTCTTCCTGATAGCTGGCATAGTGCTGTGTTTTGGATTTGGGATGGAAATAATGTTGATAACACACTGATGTTTTCAGTTGTTGCTGAGCAGTCAAGGGCTGTCCAGCTTTTCATGCTGGGCTGCCAGTGAGAAGGTGGGAGGTGCCCAGGGAGCTGGGAGGGGGCACGGCCAGGACAGCTGACCCAGGCTGGCCAAAGGGGTATTCCCTACCATACAACATCATGCCCAGTACATAAACTGGGGGACTTGGCCAGGGAGGTGCTGCGGCTCGGGAACTAACTAGGCATTGGTCAGCAGGTGGTGAGCAATTGTGCTATACCTCACTTGTCTTATATATTCTTTTATCATTCTTATTATCATATTATAATTCTTTTTTTTTCTGTCCTATTAATCTGTCTTTATCTCAATCCATGAGTTTTACCTTTTTTTCCAATTCTCTCCCGCATCCCTCTGGGGGGGTGAGCGAACAGCTGTGTGGTTGTTTCAGCTACCTGCTGGGTTAAACCACAACATCCTGCTTTCAAGTTGCCTCTAAGTCAAACTCATTGTTTTGGCTGCTATTTCCATGTTAGACTGTCTGTTTCAGGTTGCGTATTTATTTAATCTTTCAGAAACTGTTAGCCAAAAAACTGTCCTTTTTTTGAATCAAGGCGGGACAAATATACATATTTTAAAACCATGGCAAAAACTTACAAAAGCTATTGCAGGAGTTTTAGCAAATTCTTGTGTGTTCTTTTAGACAAGGATATTAATTTTGGCAGAATAGCATCCTGAATATTCTTTTTGCCATCTTTGCAAGAAACTTCCAATTTTAGTTCAGCTGCAAAAGCTATAAAAATCATCACATCCTCACTGACTCAGTAGAGTTGACTGAATTAAGACTACTGAGAATCCCATGCTTATGGCACATGCTTGTGTGGTTCCTAGTGATAACCAAATCACTAGGCATCATCTCTGCCCCATTCCAGCCCAGAAGCAAATACACGTTTTCTGTAGCATTTACTCTGTGCTAGGGTGAACTACAGGAACTGGCCTTGCAAAGTGGTGACCTCCTCCCTTTTGTGGCTCTCAGTGAGTCCCTGCTTGAGTTTAAGCATCGTGGAAGCAATTTGAACTAACTCAGGCAGGCAGGAAAGAAGTGCAGGTAGAGACAAGAAATGTTGTATTGTAGAGATTAAAAAGATTTAGAGACTGGGAGCAACAGGGTAAGAACTATGACTCTGACACAGAAGAGGCTGGAACTGGTTGGATGAAGATGAAGGTGCACATGCTCTTTGCAAAAGACAGTGGCAAGACATGCATTACATTCCTTCAAGTGCCACTCCATACAGACAGTGACAGCTTACATCGGGAACATTTCAACTCCCCATCATTGACCGGGACTCGAAAGTGCTACATGCTTAGAAACACAGGCCAAAAAGACAATCTAAACCCCCAGAACCTTATCATTTAAATACCAGACAATGAAATAACAGATGAAGAGAAAGTGGCAGCATATGAGAAAGCAGCTGGCCCATATGGCCTGATGGCCAGGGTGGGGACAACACACTGATGGACTGCCACTATTTTGCTGAAGGACAGATTTGAAGAGGATACTGGTTGGTTTTTGCATGTTTCTGAGTAGCACAGGAGAGCATAAAGGTGACACTGACTGCCTACTGTGGTGGAAGCCAGTGTTAACCTTTTCTTTCTAAAAGGGAGATGGGGGTA